TAATTCGTTGACGGAAACGCGTACTTTCTCCCCCCCCCTCCCCCCTCTCCCCCCTCCATCCGCGTGCGGCGGATGATAAACACATTTCATTTCGATCCCGCCGTGCGTTAGATGTCTGACGCGCGCGCGCGCGCGCGCGTGCACGACCGCCGGATCCCTCATTCCGGAGGTACGAAATAGTACCTCGAATTGTTTCCAGCGGCGTAACGAGATTGCGTCAACGGTTGCGTACCTCAATCGCGCCGCGCCAAGTCGATGAGGGGAACGCGCACGTAGATGACGTGCCCGCCGACTTGGAGCGAAGTTAGCGTTGTAATCTTCTTACATCGCGGAGAAACGTCGGAACTTGGACGCGTCGGTCGCGTCAATAAACCATTAGCGCGAGCGTAACTAAAAGCCGTACCGTTGCGGGAACTGCATGTCGGGCATGTCGAAGGTTGCTTTTTCCTCAGCCCAAAAATTCGGGCGCGCTCTCGCAAGAAGAAAAATCCGACTGTGCCGCGAATTCGAAATTACTCGCGGTTACTTAGCAGCGATCGGCGACAGTCGCTCGGTATTTTCGTGAAACTTACACTTTGTATTTTTGCTCGATCGAATCCGTTAGATAAAATTAGGCACCGCGCACAATGGAGGAAATATTAGAAATAGGAATAAATATTTAATTTTGAACATGAAAATTCCAAATGGCTAATGTACTTACTTGTGTCCGTTGACACAAGGTTGATCTTTATTTCGAATTTCCGAAATTCAATATTTATTTCTCTGTTTCTAATATTTCGTCCATGTGCGCAGAGCCTTAAGTTTTTAATATCTATCCCTGTACATCGCACAGCGAGCGATATAAACACGAAGTTATTCGCATCGAGGTAACTTAGAAAGTTCACTTCATATAAAACGGATAATTTGGCTTGTATAAATAACCCATGAAATTAATCCGAATTTAATAGTCTCTTTTCTTAAAATGGAATACGAGTTTAACTTTAGCGAGATACAAGTTTAGCGAAGACAGTACAAGTTAACGAGAATACAATGTAAAATTTTACGAAGAAAGATTGCATCAAAAGTAACATTCTTAAAGTTGAATTTAAATTGGCTTTACTATTCGTTCCTTTCATCTGTCATCTTTAAGTAGTTCGATAATTAAGTCATAAATTACTTGATGTTCCTTACAGTCGATTCTAATAAAATTGTCGCAGGAAATCCGAGAGTTAATTGAAGCGCCATTTACGGCTGGAATTTTCCGGTAGCAATGTTCCTCCCCGGAACTTTCGTTATCTTTGTAAACTTAAAATAATAGACATTCCCAGTTCGAAATGTAAAACAGTTGAAACGTCATTATCGTGAAAGAATTCATGATTTCATAGATATTCAAAGGTATGAAAATTCTATTTCCTCCAGTTATTTCTGATTCATTTTTTTAAAAACAGCGTTATATTCATGAGAGAGTGACGCCTTTGAAAACACGTAAAATATTACAAAGTAATTACAAAGAAAATTATTATATATTGATGAATGTCGACATCACGAAGCGTAACTGTCGCGGTGCTGAAAGGTGCGAGATTTTCAATCTTATAATTTTCACATTTCTCTGCGCATGCACGTGCATTCATTGCATTTCAATCGTAGCCAATTTGCGCATACATATATATATCGAATAATCACAGGAATAAAAGAAATAGAATTTGCACATCAATACGACGCGAGCAAGTAATTATCGCGCGAAATCCTTATTAAATCTCGATGAATAACAGCGGATCTGGATATTCTCTCTCTCGGCTCTTACTCAAATATTTTATATGTACGTGCGCGTGTGTATAATTCCTATTATTAATTTTTTTGCTTTTATATTTAAATCCCAACTATTTAAAAAAGAATAATAATTTAGCGCAGGGGATCTGTTTTTATGTAATCATTTCCATTTAATTATTATATAATTCAAAATCCTACCTGTACA